AGAATTGCTCCATAAGGTTTTCTCAGCTGTAATCTTTACAAAAGCAGATCAACAGGTCTTTCTCCTGTGGAGTCACTGGGTAGGTTCAAACCGCCAACCTTTCAGTTAGCAGCTGAACACTTAGTGGTTTATGCCACCAAGGCTCCTTGATGAAACATTTAAAAAAAAAAAAATCCATTGCTGTCAAGTTGTTTCTGACTCATAGCGACCCTACAGGACAGAGTAAAACTGCCCCATAGGGCTTCCAAGGAGCGGCTGGTGGATTCCAACTGCTGACCTTTTGGTTAGCAGCCTGAGCTCTTAACAACTATGCCACCAGGACCCCTGATGAAACATAGTGCCTTCTGTAAAAGAGTCTTAACACCATGATAAACTAGTAAACTCCTATTAGCAATTAAGAGGATACTAGGTAAAGCTGTCTTCTTGGCTTCATTGTTCTCCACTGAATCATTCTCCCTAGTTTACTGGGAAAAATCTGTGACTTTTTGGCGAGTCTTTGTGGTTCTTGTTAGGTGCCGTCGAGTTGGTTCTAACTTTTACAACCCCATGTGACAGAGTAGAATTGCTCCATGTATTTTTCTTGACTAGAATCTTTACAAAAGCAGATTGCCCAGTCTTTCTCCCATGGAGTTGCTGAGCGGGTTCAAACCACCAACCTTTCAGTTAGTTACTGAGTACCTCACCATTGTGCCTTCTTGGCCAGTCTAGTACATGGTAATTTACAGTTCTGAGCTTTTGGTGAAGCCAACTTCAGGGAAATGGAGTCCCCCATTGAACAAATACATTCAATGACAAGAAAACAAGTGATTTTTTAAAAATGTTCATTTCATTAAAAAATGCCTACATTCCAGGGAACTCAAACTTTGCCTTCTTGTAATGGTTGGACTTGATGTATTATCATAAAAATCAATTTTCTGGCAAATACTTTTCTGTTTTTTCCTAAGAAGTCAACAGTTCTTCATAAACAGGGTCAAAAGTCATTCTGGAGAGTATCTTGGATTTACTGTTGTCACTCTGAGGCAGGAAAAGCACGCTCTAGAAGGAATAAAATATGTTAGTTCTTCAGACTTCACTCAGGTTCAATTTAAT